TTTGGCTGTCAAAAAGGAACTGTACATTCAATGTGCACTTCAGTAGTATTTCCTTTAGTGCATCAGTCGGTATTCCTATTTCTAGTTAGTTGCTCAATAAGAATTCGCAGATGTATTCGATTGTCTTGGTAACCGGGACGTTTGTAAATAGCGAAAAGACGTCTAGGGAGAGCATCCTCGTGCCGTTTAAGTTCACATCTTTGATAACGTCGATAAATTCAAACGTGTCTCGATAGCTCCGTGGTGCCAGTTGATGCTGGAAAGGCTTGAGTTTCGCCGCCAACCATTTCGCTATCGCATGATACGGTGAATTGCCCATGTCCAAAATAGGACGAACCGACAGGCCATCCTTATGGATCTTTGGTAGACCATACAAACGGGGCATGTGCGTGCCTACTGGTTGGAGGCAACTATTGTAACAATTTCTGTCAGCCAACGTAATTAACGAAGCGGTTGGATGGGAAAAAATGTGACCTACTGACAATTTAAAAGTAGTGTTTTTAATATTATTAATGCCTTCCCTCAGGCGGCCCTTCTATGGATGCCTACCGCGGGCTGAATTGCAGTCTCCATGTTCGGGGGTCTAAAACGAAACTGAATACCTCAAGTGACCTTAGTAGATTCTTTGACAACACTCCCATTCGACTTCCAATACGCTTTGTCAAAATTAACGGTGTATGGGCAGAAGGCTGAAATCTCAACCTCTTCTAGCACGCAGACTAGTGCATGAAAGAGCGAGAGAGAGAAGAGGCAATTAAATCTATGAATCTGGCATGCCTTGAAACCATGGCGACGGGTTAAAAGTTATAGCTTTGGGGAGTATCAATTAACGAGATAACTCGGTCCTCGTGACCAGCCCTGTGTGTGTGTCTATGTGGGGGGATAGGATTTAGGCCCAATGGTCCCTTGTTAATGAAGTCTCTAGGGCACCGTCACATGTAGATAAGCTCTGAGCCACCATTTTCTAATAAAAGTATAATGCATATCTGCGGGGCCGGGCCGTGTGTGGGTAAGCGCAGACGGGCTGATTAAATTTGATAGCCACTCTGCCTGAGTCTACTTCCTTTCGCCCCGATTCTGGCTTGTCACCGGGCCCAGTTTCAGTATCAGTTTATTGGGGGGAAGATAGACGAACGCCTTTGAACTCCTTGTTGGTAGCGAGATGATAGGGAATAAATGGATGCGAAAAAAAATTAAAAATTACGTCAATTACGTGCTCGTGGAAGACACCAGAGTCAAATCGTAACAAAATATGACAGAAAAGTGTATGGCTACTCGCAAATCACGAGTAATATAATTTAATGCAGTGTATGTGATGCTGCATACCTGATGCAGCATAACGTGATTCAGTATATATGTGATGCAGTAGTTTTTTACATGGTAATAGAGGATAGAGTGTGTCAGATGCAGCGCAAGTCACCGTCATGATTTGGAAGGCTGCCAACTGACGAGCTAACTCGATCTTCACCAGACATCCACTTTTTCGCGCACTGATGACGCACATTCACCCACGTCGCCATTATGGATGAATGTGGCGTGTTGCGAGTGGTCTGGAGTGGTCTATCACGTGTTCGTTATATGTCTATCTCATTCCTTTTATGCTTTCTATCTTATGCTAAAAGTGTTTAGACATGAATGCAAACAGATATTTACAGGGCGTATGAAAAGGGATACCGAGTAAATGTCAAGGAAGGCAGAGGAAGCTATATGCCTCCACTTTCCCGGCAACAATCTGTAAGTCATTGCATATATAATGAACTTATATTTTAAATAGAAGTCTAGACAGTCTTACACAAAGATGGGCATGCTGATGTCTATAATCATAGGTGTCGAGCTCATGCACTTGACTCCGCGTTTACCGGTTTCCTGGATACGCTCAGGAAGTGGCGTAATAGGGCCGATTCGATACTG